TTATTCAAAGAGATAGGCTTTTTCAGAAAGGTGCTAAATGAGGCAAGAGAAATGAAGAGGTTCAGGGCTCACAGTCCTCTGGAACTCAGTGCCAAAAGGTCAACTATCAGGGATCAAACAATTCAAACTGCGGACTTGCAAAAGGCCAGAACTGGAGTAAGCAGATGTTTTGCAGGTTTGTAGTGTTCTGGGGAGGTACAGAATGAGGAAGGGGCAGATCATGGAGGTATTTGAAAACATTGATGAGAATTCTAAAATCAAGTTGTCATGGAAATAGGAGCCAGTGTAGGTCAACAATGACGGGGATAGTGACTGAACAGGACTTTGGTATGAACTATGTACAAAAATCGGAGATCTGGGTTGATGGAGTTTGGAACCTTGGAGTCAGGTTAGAACAGTACTGCAATCATTAAGTTTGGAAGGAGCAACGCACAAATGGCCTTTTCAGAAGCAGATGAACTGAAACTGGGCTGGACTTAAGCAATATTTCATATGTGGATAAAGGCTGCATTAGTCATGGTGCAGATAAATGAGAAGAAGCTCATCTTCCAATCCAACACAATACCAAGTGTATAAATAATCTTGGTCAAACAATTGCCAGGGAGAGAACAGAGGCTGGTAGCAACTGAATGGAGTTTGAAGTGAAGACTAAAGACAAAAGCTTATATCCTCCTAACGATAAACTGAAATAAAATTTTAGCTCATCCAGTGCTAGATATTGGGAAGCAGCCTGGTAACTTACAGGGGGGTGCAGGAGATGGTGGGGAAACTGAGCTGGCCATTGTCAGCATACAGTTTTTTTAATGGAAGCACCTAAAAGTGGTATATAGGTGAGAAATAGGAGGAGGGCCTGGATCCTTGGGAGAAACCCAGGCCTATAGAGTAGAAGTGAGAAGTGAAACCCCTGCAGGATATCCTCTGGTTTCTGCTGAATAGATAAGAGTAGCGATAGGCAAGTATAGGCCCAACTGGCGAGATAACAGAGGAGGGGTGATGAAAGAGGAAGGTGGAGTCAACTATGTCAGAGGTTGCAGGAATAGAACCATTTTGGTACTGTGTTAAGGATGGAAACCTGGATTTCAGGACAGACAGGCTTTTATTTTGGATAATATGATAATATGTTCAAGGGCTTTTGAGATGACCAGTACAATCACTGAAAATTAAAAATATCCATGGTGTCGTTAATGTGTTTAATACCACCATAAAATTCCTGGTCTTCTTTCCAAGGATGCTTACAAATTCATTCATGGACTTTCAAATGTAAAATGAAGGCTATTTTAAGTCTCATTGATGGGAAGGACTACACTTAGCTGCTTGCTTTCACCAAATAAATGCTTCAATTTTGGTTTCGGTGATTGGGGAATTTAGAAATGTGGAGATATGTGGCAAATTCACCAAAAATAATTCCCATTATATTCCTGTTTTAAAATTGCTATGGAAGTAGAAAGCACAAATATGTTCAATCACCTCAATCAATTCTCTAGTCTCAAAGCTTGGTGCGAGTATTAGTTAGATAATTCAGTTGAAACAGATTTAGTCAACTGCTTTCATTTGAATGATGTTTCCTGTAACTAATGACAGCTTTGTGTGTTACATATCCTCAATAAATTCTGTTATTTTTGGAGACGAAGACCAAATTGAAAAAGGAAAGGAAACTGATCACAGGAAAACATTGTTCATCCTTTTACCTCCACACCCTATAATGTATATTCCACTAAGAGATAGGTAGATCATGCCAACATCTGGCCCAGTCTTTCAATCCCATGCCTCCTCACAGAATTAACCACAAGATTCTCATCCTTATTAGAAAATAAATAATTCTGCAGCAGGACAGAATTTTAGAAGACAGGCGTAATGGCCTGGAGTTTCATCATCTTATGGGTAGAGGTAGCCTGGAAAATTACTGGCTTTACCTTCGAGTTGGCATGTTTCAGAGACATGTAAATTTGCTCATTTTTAAAGTTTAATTCAGGCACATTTTTTTTGTTTTGGCTACGTGCCAGTTGTCTTGGGTTTTTTGGAGAGTTTATTCCTGCAAGGCACAGTGACATCAATCACCGTATTTTACCAAACTCACCACGTTAAGTGCCTGCCTCATTAATCACCAACATGGCATCTCTCACGTCTGATTCTAGCCCCGTCTTATCATGCACCACTCCCAAAAAAACTCACCGCTCGGCAGATACCTGTCAATAGACCAACACCCCCAGCACCCACACCATCTCTGAAAGGCTACTGTGCACCCAGGCAAGCACTGGCAATCTGATATTGTTCCTCACTGGTCATGTAATGGCACAGCAGTTACAAAACCATATTCCCCACGTCACAGCATGGCTGAAAATCTCTCACACATACAACCCTATTCTCTCAAACTTGTCACTGTGAAAGCACCAGGCCACAAAGTTACCTGTCCTTAGCTACATCTTGTCTGAAGATCCTCTCTAAATTGCTGCTACTCTATCCCTGATGCCCAATGTAGACCTGCATCTTGTCATTGTCCAATAGGGGAACATTACATCCAGGCAAGCAATGGGACAATCCCAAACAAAAGCTTTTATTTACAGCCACCAAAAACAGGTCTTTTCTGGCTTGTAGTACTGACAAAGCTGAGTTCTGTCATGGCCAATGTCAGTTTCCTCCTCCCCATGTCTTCGGAAGGCTGTTCTCCCAGTTCCTCAGCATCCAGCACGTTACCGCATTGGTTGCTCCATCTGTGTACAGCACAGAGCACACTCTGTCCAGGCTATACTTGAGGGCCTCCTCAGACCTGCCCACGCAGCAGCAATGCTGCCCTGGTTGTACCACGTCTACCAAACTGATGAAGGTGCCATGCTGGCTGAGTGAGGAGCATAATTCACCAAAAAGAGAGCTCCTGCTGCACTCTGACCCCTTTCACATCCCAGACCCACATCAATCATTCAACTTTTAATTTGCGTTAGGTCGAGTCCATCATCATACATATGTGACATATAATGACATGATATACCCTTCCTCCCACATACCCCTCAGAAGTTTCACAAGGGATGGGATGCCATTGCATAGGATTCAACATTTTTAAAGTCATTGCTGCTAAATTCTGCATCGCTGAGATAGTAATGTTAGATCTGCAAGCTCCAGTGGCCTGATGCAAATGGCCATTGACCAGCATTTGAACCCTAAGCATGTTCACTCCACATGCACTGCAGATGAATGGACTAAGTGAGCAAACAAGCAGCCCTGAGATACAACCATGTCTAGTCTAAGAGCTGGATGCCTGTCCCCAGGCATGCAGTG